TTGTTTTTTTGAATGTCCAGAGGACCAGATTTAACTTTTTTAGATTTTTCTACCTGGATTATTGAGCATGTATCAGGACAGATGATTTAAAGTTCCTACTGCACGGACCAAACTTTCACACTGACTCGGAAGCTTTTCCATGGCCGAAACTGCTGCCGATGTCTTCTTCAAAAGTCGATAAAACAGAGCCCCGCCAATGCCAAAAAGAGTCCCTGCTATCATAATTCCAAATATGTAAACATCTTCAACATCCTCCTGACACAGAACTGAGAGGCACATCAACTGCCACACTCCACACGAATCCATGGCGTACCCCACAGCGCAAGTCTCAGCTGGACACGCCGGTTCTCCAGGACATTGTCGCTTTGATGAAAAAATCTTATCAATAGAGTTGAACGCCCACGATACCAAATCCATAATCGTCTATGTTCGGGAGATGTGAACCAGGCACTTCAGACACACAGAGAGCAGAGCAGGAAGAAGGAAAAACGGGGGAGGGATGACGGAAGCAACCACCTTGATGAGAGCCAGGGAGGGAAAAAGCTGTTTGAAGATGATCATACTTTAACTGTAAGGGTGATTTAGTTGCAATATGCACAGATTATGGAATAAGGTATGGATGAATTTAATCAGTTTTCATTTGTGAAGTACTTCTGAAGCTCAAGACAACTGGAAGTGCTTTACAGAGGTAAACAATTGTTGATATAAAAGTGAACAAAGTAATCAGAAGTAAAATAAGATGATTGAAAAGCAGTTGAATATAAAAACAAAGAATTTCCAGTGAACACTATCTTTAAAAGATTGATTTTAAGACTGTGTAGTCTTAAAAGCATGGAGGCTGGCAAATTCTTGAACCAGTCCTTAATTTGAGCTGGATCCTGTCGGAACAGAATCTGGGAACTCTTATTTTGATTGGGTGCGTTGCAGTAATTGCTGGGATCCAGTAATTCTCAGGCTTACTAATAAAGTTATGAACAAATATGACTGCCTTGAACGAATAAAACATTGGATATGTAAACTGAAAATAATTACATAAACTAATTTTAAACGCAACAGCCACGTACAAGCAGTTCTACCCTTAAAAAATCTACTTGTTTCTATCTCCTACTTATTTATCACAATAAAGATATACAGGTCATTCTAAAAAAATTAGCATATTGTGA